AGGTATTCAATCAATAAGAGGATGGAATCTAAAACAGAACTACAATATCGAGATTGTTAAGGTACTCAATCAGTAAGAGAATATCTATGTTTGGTACTCTAACATTCTATCATTGTGAAGTGCCATGGAAATTACAGGTCAGACTCTTTGACACTTTTAGCCTAGTATGGGCTTCGGGTTGTTTCATCAATATTAGTATTTGTGGTTTGTGGCATAAGGTAAAGGCTAAACCATTATGCCAGGGAGCGTTTTTTGCTGGTCCTTGGACTATTTGGATAAAAAGAAATCAAGGGATATTTGAAAAACCATCCTTTGCTGGACAAACTCATCTGGGAGAAGATGACCTTTCTGGTTTCCCTTTGCACCAAGGCTCATGAGAAATACTCTGACATCTCCCTTACTGTCCTTAAGAAGAGCTAGGATGCTATAGGCATGTGATTTGTCTTCTTTTTGGTGCTTTCTTTTTTTAATTTTGTTTTAATTTCCCTTTTTTTTTCAGCTGGATAACTTATCTACTGTTCTCTTTATATGCTTCCGTTTTTACCCCAATAAATTTTTTTTTTCTACTAAAAAATTATTCTCTCTCTCTCCCCTTCCTCTTTCTTCGATTGGCCTCCTTGGCTAGCCCAAGCTGGCTGGCCTGGTTATGCCTCTAAAACCCCCTGACTGATTACAGAACAGAAATAATTTGATGACTCTAGAAGGAGAGCTGTATTGTTTCAGGGATCACTGAGAATTGTTTTCCTAACAGATTCTCAGTTCTCTTATTTAACGTTGAGATAATTATTTTTCAAGGTCATGTGTCACAACTCATGGAGCACTAAACCTAAAACAATCGGACATTTGATTTGCTGTCGGGACAAAATTTCAAGGGAAGGTTCTAGAACTTACAGTGCTTAGAACTATTTCACAAAAAAAAAAGAACTTAAGGAGCTTGAAGCACAAGGTACAGTTATGGTGGTCTTTGAAGTTATGAAGGCATTTGGATGGTGGAGAATATGCATAATGGTAAAAACTGTGTGCAGGCTAAGCTTGATCAAATCAATATACGAGAAAGAACTTATAACAGTCCTGTATGCCGTAGGTCAATGACGGCACTACTTGGAAAGGACCCCTTATATCATCAGAATCAACCAACGAAGCTTGATTTTGTTTTCCGCGAGCATCAGCTACACGCACTGCCACATAGAAGACGTGTGAGCCGCACCCACCATCAGATCCACTGTGATCCGACCCAAATTGCGTTGCACCGCCACCAGACACCCAGATCCGGTCTTTTTTCGACTTGTCGCACGCGATCCGGCTTGAATCGCACCTCCCGGCTCCTGCTTTCATGCGACTGCTGCGAATTCAGCCAATCCGCCGGTCTAAGCATTCCGTCGTGCAGTCCAGGCACTTCCGCGCACGAAGATGACCCGCGACACCTCTCTATGAAGAAGATGAAGAGGAAGAGGAAGTGGAAGATTCATGGCACTGAGAGGACAATGGCAGTGGGGTGGCTTGAAGAAGATGAAGATCCAGGGACACAGATGTGGTCAAGCAATGGCAGCTGCTAGGATGAAGAAGGAAGAAGACGCTGAGCCGCAAGTGTTAGAACTCAGGTTGCGTAATGTAGTGGATTAAATTTGAAGTTTTGCTATATTTTTATTTTTAGTTCAAATTCTGCTCATTCGTATACTGTGATTGATGCCTCATTAGTACATTGTCATTGATGCCTGGGTGTAGGCGCAATACTATCAATACCAGAAAATAACGATAAAACATTCTAAGTTATGAATCATTTGAAGATATGTCCGATGAAGGTTGACAAAATACCTTAAGCCAATCAAAATAATGCCAGAATAAATCATGGAAAAAGAGAGCAAATATATAAAATTCATGCCCAAGTGATAAGCAACACGAGAAAAATTGAAAAACAAAAGTATTCATTTCCCACAAAATGAGCTTGTCTAGTTCGAGAAGTTACCTGCAGCGAAAGAATCACATTTACGGCATCATATAACCGCTTGGCATCTACTGGTTCTCCAACAACCTCTAAGGGTATTTTTGATAACAAGAGTGCAGCCTGAGAAAGAAAGATGAGAAAGCCTTTTTAAGAGTAATGTTATAACCAAGAGGAGTACTTTGAATTTGATGAATCATTACTTTCAATCCTTCTGCTGTGCAGTCTGAAATTGGCCATCCGTGATCTGCAGTTGAGAAAGGCCAAGCACCCTTGGAAATGTGGCGATACCAAGAATCAAGATTGCCAGGACAATTCTCTAAGACCTACAATCCAGAGAAACAATCAGACAATAAGTTTGAGAGACTGAATCAGGATATAGAAGTTCAGACCTGCGAGCTTTTTATGTATGAATGTGCTTTTCTCAAAGTTGGACCATATTCTTCAAAAATATTGGTTGCAATAATTGCTTGGACAGCGAAGGCAGTGTCCCACAGTTGACTTCCATTATAGCCCTGTCATAGAACCATCTAATGGGATAGTTGCTTAAATTTGAGTATGCAGTGTGCAAAAATAATTATGAATGGTATTGTCACCATAGCATGAAGATATTACAAATGAAGCATTTGTGTTATGTCCCAGGCTGTTTCCAGTTACTAACATGTGCCAGGAATTGAGCTTCATTAATGCATCTGGTGGCCATGGTAACCAAAAAAAAACCATAAATTCAATATGTGTTATATACCTATAATTATTATTAGAAAATTAATAGGTCTCATCTGTTGACTCCCCAACTAATTGATAAAGTACCTCTAAATTCAATATATATTATATACCTAAAATTATTATTAGAACAATTAATAGGTTTCGTTTGTTGACTCCCCAACTAATTGATAAAGTAAAGTAATATTGCTATTCACAAAATGAGGATATGGTTTTATTAATTTTCACTTTGACATTAACTCAAGAAAGTCATAAACTTGTTCTTACAAGCGATAAACATGTGACATAAAGTAAAGTTCTAAAACTTCTATCATAAGTTAATTGTTGCTATAGGAAACAAGAAAGAGAGACCTCTCTAAGCCACTGCTTAGTAAAATTTTTATCTAATTTTCCCTCAAAAAAAATAAGAATATTTTTTCAACTCTAACACATAATGATACTCTATTTGACATTAATTCCTTTTAATTGTTAACTGTTGGAATTTTGAAATAAAACTAACCTTCGTCTAAAAGACAGGAACTAAGTAGTAACATTTGAATCATTTTTGTCTCCAAAAATGAACTGAGCTTTGTAGTTTTTTTTTTCTTAGTATGCCAAAGCGAGTACAACGAGGTGGGATCAAAGCAGCATTTTAGGACCCTGCTGAGGGAATATATACAGCTTGAGCCAATAGTGATGAAGAATGGGCAAGCAATATCCATAATAAATTAGAAATTGTAATTATATTAAAGATAAAACTCACTGTTATATTAATTAGGAGTATTATTATAATTTTAGTTTTATTCTTACTAGTATATTTACAAATTTTATTAGGATTACTGTTTCTAATATTATTGGTACTAATTTCTTATTAGAATTAGTATCCCTAATTCTACTAGTTTACTATTTGTTCGTTTAATTCTATTTATGAAAGTTAATTAGAAATCATTATAAATAACTATATAATTACAGGCATATTTAAGTATTCAATAATATATTTCGAGAGTTTCGCAATTTTCTAATTTTTTTTTAAATAATAATTTTCTGGTTGTGTGATGCAATAAACCTTTAAGTTTAATGCTTAAGACTTCCTAGGTGTAATGTCTAGATTTTCATTGCCAAATTCCTAATTGGACAAATCAACTATATTTGTCCTACACCAAGTAGTTTGGAATTTTCTTAGATTAAGAAAAAAAAAGATAAACAGGCACAAAAGATGTGTCACCTATGCACAAAAGGGCTAGAATTTTACATGTTAATGAAAATGTTAATAAGGTCCCTTAGATCCTCAACAAAAACACGGGGATTGCCTTCACTCAAGGTTTAGAACCATAAATCAGCCTTATTATTCCTCTCCTTCCGGACAACCCACAAGGTAACCAAGGGGATCATAGATACCTTCCCAAGCCCAAAACTAATCGGCAACAACCCCATCATCCAACTCAGACCTAAGGAATCAATGCCAATGTAGAATAGTCAATAGGAAATCAGACAATACAACAGAAGATGATCAAGGAATTTTTTCTCCCTCTTAAATAAACAGCAACCATTGAGCAATATCTTGCCCCTCTTCTTACAGTTATAAATACGAAGCATTCTATTCCTAATTGCCTCCCAAGCAAAAAAGACAATCCCGAGGTGACATCAGTTTTACTTTCCCTAGGAAAGTAGAGGTGCCCAAACAAAGACCTCAGTAAGAGAGATATTTGTAGAAAGGTATTTTTTTAGATTCAGAAAACTATATTACAAGGTACCAAGAGGATGCCGCTCATTCATAAAAGGATAGGATTACAAATTGTATCAATAAAATATAGGAAAAAGAGGATCACTCTTCAAAATATTAAAGGTTTGAAACCATAATCCTATCAAAAGAAAATGAGACATCAATAAAGCCTATTTGTACAGTAACTGTGAGTCTTAGGCCATCGGTAGGCCAAAAGGAAAGAATCAGTCTCTGAAAATCCTATAATTCTGCTCCAACAGTAGCACCCACAATCCCCCAAAACAAGTCTCATCTCCAAAGGATTTTAGCTTCCTTCATACCCCTTTCCCATACACATTCAAAATCATGAAACACTATCAAATATCTGTATCAAACAGTCCAATTCACAACTTCTAAGTACTTCATAGTGATGGAAGAAGTGATCATGAGTTACCCCCTTCCTGAAACACATCACACAATTATCTGGTATAAGAGCACGATTAAACTTGGAAACTCGTAACAGCTCGTTAATACTAAGCTTGCTGAGAACAACCACCCAAACAAAAACCTTTTCTTTTATACAGAAAAAGAAGTATTATTGAGAGAAGAGGCGAGTAATATAAAAAGTACAGTGGATAAGTTATCCAACTGAGAGAAGATGTAAAAGAAAACAAAATAAAAACAAAATGTAACAAAACAATGGGCATAACTGACAAATATCACGTGATCAAAGCATCCAAACTCCTATCTAAAACCAACAAAGAGATGTCCGAATAATTCCCATGAGCCTTAGCCCAAAGGGAGGCCAAGAAAGTCATCTTCTCTCAAATCATCGAGTCCAGTAAAGAACGACTATCAAATATTTGATGATCTTTTCCCAACCAAATTGTCCATAAACCTGCAAAAAATGCTCCTTCTTCACAACAGTCTAGCCTTCGCCCTACCCCAAGACCTTTAATGCTTAAACTAAGAAAACAATCCAATGAAGGAGGGGTAACCCAAGAAAGGTTGAAAAAGCCGAATAGCCTACTCCGTAAACTCCACGCCATCTTACAATGTAGAAAAGATGGTTGTGTGTGTCCCTGACACTACAGTCACATCACACAAGTGTCAAGAGACCAAATGCAGTCAGGCCTACGAATTCACACAAAAAGTTAATATTACAAGCAACTCTCACTTTCCAAAATGCATTTGTAAAAGAAGTATTATAGCAGTAGGGTTATGGCTCATATAGTCAAAAAAAGATTGACACATGTAAGTTCTTGAAAAAGTTTAAGGTCCACACCTTGCTATCTGGTTGGTTGCATAGAAGTTCTCTAATACGCTAATTAAGGCTAAAACGTCAATGATATCCGGAGTCTGAGATTTCTAAAAATATGCAAATCCGAAAATATATTCCCTTCCAGATGATTAATGAAACTAGGAATAGGCACATTATGATATGAAGAGATGATATCAAGACAAGAAAATTAATGAGCTAAAGGACTACCTCCAATCCAGAGATTCTCTCACTTTGAGACTAGTAGAAAGGGAAAAGATGGCTTTCCAGGAGCTTTTTTGAGTAGTGGAATTTCGATCAACTAAACCCCTCCCATTCCAATGCATATTGTGAATGCCCTTCATCAGTTTGTGCCACAAAGTAAATAGAAGTTTCTACAGGAAACTCCAAGATCATTTAACCGATAGAGAGAAATTCTTTGAAACCAGATATTCAATGCCCAAGCCACCAATATTTTTAGAAAGACACTACACTTCCCACCTCATCAAATGATCTCTCAGACCTCCCATGTCCAAACAACAAAAACTTCCACATGATCCTCTCCAAACTCTCAGTGACTCCCAAAGGGATTCTAAGCAGGGAAAGATTGTAAAGATGGATACTAGGAACACAAACCTGGATTAAAGTGATTCTACCACCCAAAAGAACAACCAACCTTATAGCACTCAGGCCTTTTAGATACTCCATTAACAACCTCATCCCAAAACGATAATGACCTAAGATTAGCCCCAAATAGAACACCTAAATAGTTAATCAGCCAATAAAACTTAGTATACTCGATAGCTTCAGCCAAATCCCGGACAGTATTATACTCCACATTGCTCCGCACCATAGTTGACATTTATGTAAAGCCCTGAAATACTGTCAAAATTTTGAACAAGGATGAGTGTGGTGGAGACCAACCTATCATTGTACGAAAGAAACAATATGGTATCATCTAGAAACTGAAGTTAAGAGACTTCCATCTAGTGACCCCCTAGAACAAGACCTAACCAGTCCTCCCTCTAACCCCCCACATCAGCATGCGATCAAAGTTCAAAAGAAACAAAAAGAGGGATCATCCTACCTATTAGCTTTGCATCTTGAAAACCAATATTGAGGTAACATTAACAACTGCTGCAATACTTAATAGAATACACATCAAATGGTACTTAACAAATGTATTATCCTTTTTCTTTTCAAAAAAAAAAAATTGACAACAGCAAAACATGTAGATTTAGAAGAAAGGAACCTAAAGGGAAAGAACACGGAATAAAATCCAAGAAATAATTCTTCATTCTAGATTTCTGACCTAGTGGATAGTCTAGGTTCGTAGCCCATATACAAACATTCATTAAGTCAAATAAGAAAAATATCAAAGTATTAAAGAAAATAACAAAATTTCTAAACCTTAACTAAATTTAAAATAGTGCAAACCTAATTTCTGGCCTTAATAGCTAAATTATTTAAGATACTCAAATTTTAAAATAATTACCAAAATATTTCCTATCACTCAACTCTTCCATTTTAGCCTCTTCCTATTCTGGGTCATGGTTACTTCTCGTCTGTCCTCATTAAGATTAGGAGTCAAAAGATTGTTCTAATAATTATATGAGATAAGACGAAAATATAAAAGACCTGCATTTTCATGCCATCCTCTGCTATCCAAAGGTAGTCATAGACTCTTGGGAGATGCAACTTGAAAGCCTCTGAATTTGGATCTTCCAGCCAGCAGCAAAGCATATTTAACACCTGTAAATGCCATAGGAAAAAAAAGAACATAAGAAATAAGATGAAAATAATAGAATGTTAGCTAGACTTAAAACTATAACTTCAGAGATTGGTGAATGGAGAATGAGAGGGAAACAGGAGCATAGCAAGAGAAATGGCTAGGCTGCCTGCTAATTATAGGTTAATTATATAACACAAATTGGGTTCATGAATGATATACAGGAAAAAGATCCTAAAAATACATAGTACTGGCTAGCTTAGTTAGAAAACTTCCTTTCAGAGCACAAGGACCTATAATGGAATATTGGTACAATTAGAATTTGGAAGATTATAGTACATTTTGAACATAATTATATTGTGTAAGCTATAGCACGATAGGCCTCAAAGTAGAAAAGAAGCAAATCCCAAATGTATACTTCAAAGTTCACCACAACTTGGCAACTAGGCATCTAAATACAGTTAAGAATTTAGCAAGAAAAAACTAATGTTAAGTTCTTCTTAAAAGGTTATTTGTTTTCCATAGATACAACGTACAACTCCTGCTCTTTAAGAAAGATTTCTGCCCTCCAGAGAAGGAAGTTTCACAGAAATAAATAAAATATTAGAATTCTTTGAATTCACACCTTGTTCACAGGTCCAATGCATAAATAACGAGTATTTTCATCTTCATAGTGTATGTGCTCCATTACAGTCCGAAGTGCCTTTTCTCTCAATCTTTTTCCAGGCCAATACATTAGAATGGGCTCAACAACCTTGTGAAGTGCTGCCCAAAGCATATCTTGCACCAATGGATGTGGGTAGTACAAGTCTTCCTGCGATACAAAAGAAAAATAACACTTTTTTCAGTAAGAATGCTGGACCCTACAAGTCTTCCTGCAATACAAAAGAAAAATAATACTTTTTTTTCAGTATGAATCCTGGATCCACCCAGAACCAGTTTATTCAAGAGTGACTACAAAGTGTAGAACATCTTTCATTACACATCTTATAAGCCTAGGCCCTAAAGACTTTTCAGAATGCCAATTGGAACAAGAACAGAGGATAACATAAATCAAAAAGAGAGATTGATACAAGTGTATATTTGATTCAACATCTATCCCAGAACATGTATTTCAAAATCTCAATCTTTAATCGTCGGACATTTGTTTAAACAAGACCTTACATATTCTTTTTCAGATCATGATCAAGGTAGATGAGCAAATATAGGATATTCACCCTACCAACTGTTCTTTCTTTATTTTTTCCAAATGGAAGTTAACAGAAACTAGTTACTTGGTCTCCTTAGGGAACATTCTCATTTTTTGACTGAATGTATTTCAGAAATATTTTGTACACAGGTGACACCCGTTTGGTGCTTTGAATTGCATTTCTTTTCTATTAAAACATGCATGGGAATTAGTTAGGTCAGCAAATTATCTCATTATATTCATATATTTAAAACCTCCACTACTTATACATGCAGATGCACAGAGGATGAAGCAATTCATGGGGAAAAAGAAAAAAGATATACAATTTAAAATGACAGGCTTTTACAGGACTAAACAACAATGTTACTGACCTTTGCACAAAGGTTTCGAGCTTGATTCCAATCTATTTCGTGATATGGGACAGTGTAAAGCTCCTTTCTCAATGACAGGACTGTTGAAGATATTGGACCAACAAACCTCCTTCCATATAAATAAGACATAGGTAGATAGACCATCCGGCAGTGACACCACATTCTTCCTGCAAGATAGGACACAATTAATTCCTTCTTCCTTCCAATTACTTAGACACAAATAATATAATCTTGAGGAAGTGAGTACCAGAAATTCGATAAACTAAAAAATTTCGGCAGAAATAAACAATGTCAAACAAGTAACTTTAATATTTAGTTGTATGTTTTAGTGAACCATGGGCAAAAATACTTAGAATGGAAGTTCCTCTTATAAAATACATATACTACTTGCTTCTCATTAAGTTAGTTAGATGCATTCTGATCGAACTTGATTAGCTTCTCCATGAAGAAATAATGGCTTATGTTCTTTAAGTGATGTTTAGAAACTACTAACCTTAAAGAGCTGTTCAGGATTCAGTATGCAACCCTATACTAATATATAAATCAAACAAACTGGATTCTTTAATCTAGAAGGTTCTACCAATTGGCAAGCACCTGGATGGACAGGTAGAATATAAGGAAGAAGCCATATCTCAGGTGGTAGGGGATTATTCCCAGACCATTCAAATGCTCCAAGCACCTGAAATCTCAGGCAATAACAAAAGTCATAAAAATGCACCACGGAAGATGCAAGTATCAAAACTGCCATTATAACTAACAAGTTGGTGGATCAATCCTTAACTGAAAGCCACATTTTCCCCCATGATGTTATCGAAGTAGCACCACCATGGCTCAGAATCCAATCCCGTCCTCTCTCCATTGCCCCTTGCCCATCATTAGCTCCTTCACCAAGCAACCTTAATGTAACATAGCTCAAGACAGAACCAAACATTGTGCTAGGGCCCTCAATGTGCAAACCCCACCCACCATCTTCATTCTGTAGTTACATGTTGCCATCTTTTAGTGAGCTTTTAGCATACATGTACGAGCTACCATAAACAAGAAGAGAGCTCTTCCAAGTACTTTGAGTTCTCTATTTTGTTAAACAAGGTATACACGCTTGCAATGCATGGTTTATTCAAAATGAATTATAAATTTTGCTTAATACATGAATTATACTTCAAATTTTTAACGCAGGATATATTTAATATATTGTTCAAAAAGACATTTGACTTCAATATATAAAATTAAATTTTATCTATATAAATAAAAAATTTAACCATTATAATAATATATATAACATGTCATAAAATGAAGATATATATATATCACTGACTAAATTGGATTGAAAACATTTCTAATAGATCTTCCTCTAATTAATCATCTCATCCAAAAAAAAAGCTTATGATTGTTGTAAGACATGAATATCTAACAGCATTTAAAAGTTTACAATATAATGTATCATTCATTTTTGAAAATATTTGCACATATATAGATATACATACATCTATAAATAATTCAGTAAGGTGATAATTTCCTTAATATTATCTCCATAACAATATGAAATGTTATTTTTTATTAAGATATGTGATAGTTATAATATAAAATAGCCATTTACTGTTCTGAATGTACATCTTAATATAGATAAATACATAATGCATCTTAGTAAGTCTTTAACATCGTTTCATCAAATGAATATAAAGAGTCACTTAATGTTAAAAATATAGCAGTCACAACATAAAAACTATTTTCTAGTAATGAAGAGTGTTTGTATATATATATAATTTGTCACATTTAATATAGCAAATGCAACATAATTATGTAGCTTCATGAGAAACTTACCCCACAAACATATTATTTTATAGCAAAAAATCATACTTCAATAATGAGAAAAATGTAGTATAAAATTTTAATAGAAATGCAACACAATATAATATCTAAATATTATATTAATTTTAATGAATTTTACGACCAATATAAAATTCTATAGTGATTTGAAATACTTTTTAGATTTAATTTATTTAAATTAAAACATAATAGAAAAATAATAATATGGCTCACAACATGCAAAGACAAAAAAAAAAAGAATTTTTCACCTTAAATAATTAACACATTTTTAAATTACTACTATAGATAATAAATTTTAAGTTTATTAATATAATAAAATTTTAACCTAATGATTCAAAGCAATCATAAAGGATACTGGAACAAGGAAATGTACAAATTACACTATCATTCATATATACAAAAGTTAATGGATTGACTAAGTAACTGATTTGATTGATAATGTAATTAAAAAAATAAATACCATTCTAATTCTTGAACTTTACTTCATTTTGTCCAAATTTTCTTTCCTTATAATTTAGTGTAAACTTATAAAACCGGTTTAGTTCATGTTTTCTTTAAGAAACTACGAAAATTCTTTCAGAAAATGACAGAAAATTTTTATACTTTCCAATATTTTATTTTTGAAAAAATTTGAAATTATAACAACTAAAAACTAACCTTAACAAATTGAATTAAAATAATTTATTTATTTCTTCCTTCCATTTAAAAATCATGTTTTGAACAATTTTTCTAAGTTTAAAAATTAAATTATAATGGAAAACAATTTTCCATTAGATTACAAAATAGTCTATACTTCAAGAACTAAATTGGTAAGCTTTTCAGGGGAAAAAAAATGATTGAATGATTTAGCTTTATAAAGCCAACATATAATTTTATATATATACATCTATTACACTTTTACAATTTGATTGGTTGACTAATTACTCAAAACTTTCATTTTTAATATGTCATTTATATGTAATTATAAATCATTCCAAAAGCTTAAATAGATATCAAAAGACTTAACCATCTATGTTTTAATATGTCATTTATATTCAAGTGGGATGACATTGAACTTACCACATGGACACAAATCCAAATGGAAGCACAAGATAAGATTAACTGATTGAGTTCGCATAAAGCCCCAACTATGGGCAACAAATGGATTAATAATAGTAGGTCCAGCTTCTAAGGACCTTAACCTCTGAATATCATGTTAAATAATTAGTTGGCTAAGCAATTATTCCAAATTCAAACCGGTCAAAAGTATTCAACTTTAATTTTTATAATTATCATTTTTAAATGACAGAGTAGGTTTAAAAATTCACAAGTTGACCTGTACGACTCAAAATTTGGAGCAAACACCCTTGCCTGATGATTGTAGAGATAACGGCACATCTCCCGTTTATGTTCTTCAGATAAAACCGCATTCAATGCTCCAGTTATTGATAGGCTGATTACCTGATGCATCCATGAAAATAAAAAGTTACCAGGATTCTTATTATTTTTTGGATTTCCAAGGCATAAAGTGTTAAGAATTCTTAACTGTATATTAAGTAGGGTAAAAGATATAATACTACTATACCCCTTTTGTAGTAATTAATTGTATTTCCTTTTATTGCTTATGAAAACCTATATATAAAGGTTCCTCGTATTCAGTAAAATACACACCTTCATATCCACATAGTATCAAAGCTCTGTAAAAAGACTTTAGGCTTTTTTTTCTGCAAACCTAACTCGACCTTCATTGTCAAAATAAGAAAATAAAAAAAAAAAAGCCTTAAGAGGATACTGGCCTCCAGTCTCCACTTGCCGGCCACCACAAGACCGGCCATCAGCCTAAAAACTGGCCTTCATAGCCAACTCCAGCCTACAAACCGCACAGTGAAAAGCAGCCCGGATCAGCCGCTGCTCTCTGCAGCCGCACGCCTCCCTATGAGCGCCCCTCTATCTGGCCAGATGCAACTGCTGCGCCTCGTAAGCCCCCACACTTCAGCTGCACGCCATCCTGTAGTCACCACTGTTCCAGCCGCCAGCCGCCAGCCGCCAGCTCCAACCGCTGCACAGCTCTTGCCACCTGTCAAGCAGCCTCCAATCATGCTGTCTAGCCCACAATCTCCTTCCGATAATTTTGTTGTTGGCTTTAATTACTATAAAAAATCGCAAATTGTGTTGGAGGTAATATCTCAAATTACTAGTAGAAACACTCACATGAGAAATTCTGCACAAAACACTGGAGAATTTCACCCATGCTAGGCTGCTTATAGCTTCATTGTCAAAGACTATATAAGTTAGTCGCAATTGATTCAGATCACTCTCAAGGGAAAACGGAAGCTTAGTCACCTTCTTGGCATGAGACCAAAACCAAGAGATCAACATTTGGTGCTTGTGATGAAGAAGATTTAATGATTATGGTCTGCCACTGGAATGCTATATCGTCATAAATAAATAAAACATTCATGTTCCTGTCTAGAGCAAAAGAAGTTTGGGACTAAACCAGGAAAACTTATTCCAAGGAAAAGGATGCAGCCCAGATCCACGACCTTATTGTCAAAACTTGGGCAACCAAGCAGGGAAATAAATCAGTTACAGAATATGCCACTCTTTGGTAGCAAGAACTCGATTAGTATCGCAATCTCACTATGGAGTGCAACAAAGATGCAGTAACTTTAAAGAAACGGTTGAAAAATATTGAGCAAATCAATTCATGGCTGGACTAAAGGAAGAGTATGATCTGGTAAGAGTTTAGATTTATTGCTTTCTTTGTTTTCATTATCTTAGAAAAAGAAATGATCAGGTAAGAGTTTAGATCCTGAAAAAAGAAATGTCATTCCTGAATAAAGTAATAGTTCTTATTAGTGCAGAAGAAAGTATAAGAGTTACACTTAAATGGGAGTGCATTGCTCTAAGTATCAGAATTATATATATAATATTTCAAGTAAGGCACCATCTCTCTCTAAATGCTCCCCAAAATTTCTGTCCCCCACGGCCTCTGGCCAGCCAACCAGGCCAACCAAGTGGGGGTTTTTCATGAGTACATTTGGGAGAAGGTTTCTTGCTATCAAAAGCAAATCTTTCGATTTGTTCTGTGATGGTCAAAAAGCAGAGTGCTTGAGAATCAGTGAGAATGATCGAGGTTTTTGAAGATAGATCTTCCTTGACTGAGATGAGTTTAGGTAGTTTTTGGATGCGCTCGATGAGTTCTGGTGGAGAAGGAAACTAGGGCTTTGGGCTAAACACTTCGTGAAGAGGAACTATGAGTTCTGGCTTGCTTTAGGAATGAAGAAGGGGAGAGTACTTAGTGCTAACGGTACAAAGTGAGCACCAGGTGAAGCGGATCCTTTTTCCGGGCGGAGATCAGGGAAAAGGTAGGTGGAAATTGGTGGTGGCGGCTATCAAACTTGCTAATAGACCAGTCAATAAACCTAGGAGTTGTATCAAAAGTTTAAGGACATTTTCTTCTGCCCCCAGTTCAAAAGTGAGTCTTCCAAAGAAGCCGTGGAAAGTCTCTATCAAGTGTCCTCATGTGAAGTGTTGATCCAGCTCACAGTTGACGTGGGAAGCATCCAGACTTACACGGCGGCTCTGCAAGTTGACGAGGAAGGAAAGAAGCGGGTAGGGCAAAACAAACCCATTAGAAATATGGATAGGGTCGACCCAACGGAGAAGATCCTGAAAGAAGAGGGGCACAGTGGTATTTTAAAGTCCCAAAGGTGAATAATAAATTTGGGCTGAAAGGGAATGGAAGCTTTCTTGCTTTAGGCCGCGATAAACACAGAAGGAATGGATCGGTCGCCAAGAAAAGAAAATACACCTAGAAGGAAAAAGAAAAATGGGTTGCGAATCCCAGGTCTGGTGGAGCTTTAACCCAAGGACCCGAGCCTAAGAAAAATGGAGGAATTGGGTTGATTTAACCTGACCTGTGGCGAACCATCAAAGGGATAAAAGAAAAGGGAGATATTTTCCCCAAGGGTTTTGAGACAAAAGACAAAAGACAAAAGAGGAGAAGAGGTGAGAATCGAGCGGATGGAGAAGGTTTTCTATGCAGATAAAGTTGAGAGTGATATTCAAATTGATCGGATGAGCACGATTGATCATGAAGATGAGAATTTTTGCACAATGCTTTCATCAAAGGAGGAATTTGAGCTTGAGAGAAAGCTTTAAACGAAGAGGACTGTGGAGAGGAGCATGCAAAGAAGCTTGAGTGTGACAGTTGACCCCCATGTTCAAGCTCTTACTCCGGTGTCCAACCCATAAATACCATAGATTTTGCAACTGACTGTAGAAGGCATCAAGGTGGTGGACGGAGAGGTGGTTGGGGGCTCCTTTTGGATCATGCAGAACATTCAAAAATTCAGCAAGGTGATGGATATCTCGCTTGAAGATATGGAAGATATTCCTATCTTTTTTTTTTCTGAAATTGAAAAAAAGAAAAATATTGAAGAAAAAGAAAGGGGGTTTCTATACTAAAGAGAAGAAAAAACAGTGGTGGTATACCGAGAGAGTTGAAAAGGCTTGAAAATACTATTAATCATGACGTTAGAAGGAAGGAAGATAAGGCTTTAAGGGGGATGAAATTGTTGTGTCAATGACTGAAAAATTAGTTTCTTCAAATATTAGGGTTATTATTAACCAATGCAAAAGACTCATCATTCGAGGCTGTCTCCGAAAATGGAAACTTGTTGTGGTGTGTATGCAAGAAACATAGCTGGATAACTGCTCTGAGAAGTTGTTTAAAAGTTTGTGGGGTATAAAGAATACGGCGTGGCATCCCATTCCTGCCAATGGCATAGCTGAAGGACTGATCATTTTATGGAGAGAAGATTGTGGGGTTTGTGAGGAGTGCACTCTGTCCTGTCTCTTCAACAATAGTAGGGGGGCTTGTATGGGCTTTGTCGGGTGTCTATTGCAGGGTAAGTAGAGAGGAGAAAGACTTACTTTAATATAAACTGGAAGATTACAGGTTCAAATGGGGGCACAACTGAAGGGGGGAGGGGTGATTTCAATATGGTTTTGAGGAGGGGGGAGTGGAGTGGCAGTGCCTTTTCGGCTGTAGAAGTGAAAGTTGGATGTGGTCGATCTTCCACTCATTGATAGACTATGGACTTGGTCCAACCATAAGAGCCAATCATGGAATCACTTCCCAATCTGCCTTGTGACTAAAGGCATTGGGGCTTTATCCCCTTTAGATTGGACAAGTGGCTAGATTATGAGAATTTCGGGATTTTAGTGGAAGATAAATGGAACTGTGTCAATTACGGAATTGCTTACAAGCTGAAGGAGTTAAAGAAGGAAATTAAGATTTGGACCAAGGTGGAGAGAGAGAAGGAAAAAAACTATGTCTGACTCTATTATGGCCGAGATCAATTACCTGAATTCTAGAGAGGAAATCAATGGGCATAACGGTGAGGAGCATGATTGGAGGGCATCCCTAAAGTTACAGTTGGCTTCATTCTTGAAGGCAGAAGAAATCACATGCAGACATAAATTAAGGAAATGTGGCTTGCTGAGGGTGACCGTAATACCAAATACTTTCATATATTAGCCACCCATAAGAGATCATGCAATTTCATTGATGAAATTTGGTGTGAGGATAAGAAGATCACGGTTAGTAATGAACTAAGGGAGGCAACTAGAAACACTCTTCCAAACTATATGAAGAAGAGGCCTATCATCGACCTAATCTGGATGGCTTGTAGTTTAAAAATTTATCTGATGGCCGTAATCAGCTATTAGTAGTTTTTTCTAAGGATGAAGTGGTGGGTTGTTTGAAATCATGTAATGGCAATAAGGCCCCCAGCCCCGATGGATTCAATATGAAATTTCTTCAAACTTTTTGGTACATTTTGAAAGATGATGTGCTGGACCCCTTTAAGGAATTGCATAATTCGGGTAAATTTATTAGATCTCTCTATTCTACTTTTATAGTTCTCATTCTTAAAAAGATGAGCCCTAGAGAGTTCAAAGAATTTAGACCTATTAGTTTGATGGACTGCATATATAAGCTTATACCTAAAGCATTGGTTATGAGGTTTTCTAGAGTGTTTAGGGAGGTTATTAGAGAATATCAACATACTTTTGCAGAAGGTAGACAGATCCTAAATGTTGTGATGGCTGCAAACAAAACTATTGATGACCTGACAGTTAGGGGAAATGATGGCTTGTTATGTAAATTGGATATGGAGAAAGTTTATGACCATATTGGCTGGAATTTTGTTGAATATACGTTAAAAAAATGGGTTTTGGGCAAAAATAGCAAGACTGGATGAAATTGTGCATGTCTACCTCCTCTTTTGTGTTCCTTGTAAATGGAGAATTGTCTAAGTTTTCTAATGCTACCAGGGTCTAAGATAGGAGGATCCTTTGTCTCCCTTGCTGTTTATTATCATTATGGAAGCCTTAAACGATCTATTATGCAAGGAAATTGATCTCCAACTTGTGAAAAGGGTCTTAGTGGGTAG